CAAATACAACATTTGCAGGATCAAAAATTGCACTTGAGGCACAAAATCTTGAAGATCTGCCCTGGACCTGGCGCTGATTTTTTCTCCAGTGGAATGAATAGTGCAATAGCAACAGGTTCTAATTTATACATCCAAGGTTGATGGAGGCAACTGCATATGTTAAAGTGCAATTGCTTTTAGTCATATTCATGTTTTTCTAGTGGGATATCCAAAACATGGTTTGTGGATGGTAGACCTAGTAGGAGAAGATCAAAATTTGTTGGTGTTCTTTGGTGAGATAATATACTCTTTTGAAAAAGTAAGGTACCATTTTGGATCTGATCCCAGGAAACTTCTTCAAGAGGTCAAATGCTCTTGGAAGAGGCAAGGTACCCTTTTGGAAAGTTCAGTTGCTCTTTGGGATTGTTAAATGCAGACATGAACTCTCTAGAGCTGTCAAAGGAACCTGTCAAAGGGAGCTTTCAAGGCAATCATATCTTCTGGCATTTAAAAATTTAGAAAAAGAACACTGTTTGCAGTGTTGTTTAAAATAAGACTTGTTATTTTTATACTGTCTGTTGACATAAGCCTGAGAGCTTAGCTCTGCATGACTGTTGTTACAAGCTATCATTGCCACAGTTGAACATTTGGAAATTCACATTTGATTGACAACTCCAAATGTGTTCAAATTATTGTTCTTATGGGCACTGAGTATTGAAAGGAAGTTAAATATAATGAACTACTTTTTAATCATTGAGAGATTTTCTTTTAAGATAATGGCTACATCAATGAACTAAAAATTACATTTAATCTCAGCATAGATCCAAAGTTCTGCCCATGGTAGATACTGTTGAATATGGGAAGAGAGCCAGATATACATTGGAATAATCAAGCCTAAAAGCAAAACTGAAAAAAAAACTGTTGTTGTGGGCCTTAGCGGAAGATAAGCCGAGGCAGTGGCAGACATGGGAAATATAACAGAGATGGAATATGTCTTCATTCATCCACAGGATGTGAGCATTGCTGGCAAGGCCAATCACTAACTGGCGAGCTACATTCTTGACTGCTGCAGTCCTTGGAAGGGATAGGTGCATTCGCAGTGCTGTTAGGAAAGGAAATTCAGGATTTTGACCCAATGACAATGAAGGAACAGTAATATAGTTTCACATCAGAATGGTATGTGGCTTGAGGGGAACTTGCAGATTGTGGTGTTCCCATGCTACTCTTGTCTGTCATAGAGGTAGAGACCACAGATTTGTAAGATGTTATTAAAGGAGCTTCGGTGAGTTGTTGTTGTGCATCTTACAAATGATACACACTGCTGCCACTTTTTGGTGGTACTGTAGGTGAATGTTGAAGGTGTTAGATGTTGTGCCACATCTAACCAGGCTGCTTTCTCTTGGATGATGTCAAATTCGTAAGTGTTGTTGAAGTTGCACCCATCCTGGAAAGTGCAGAATATTCCTCCACATTCCTGACTTGTGCCTTGTAGATGATGGACAGGCACTGGGGAGAAGAGGTTAATTTCTTGCTGAAAAATGCCTAGGTTCTGACCTGCTCTGTAGCTAGTGCAGTTCTGATTGTGATCAATGGTAATCCCCAGGATGTTGATTGTGGGAATTCAGGATGGTAGTGCCAATGAATGTCAAGGGAATGATGGTTGCATTCTCTTTTGTTGAACAGGCTCAGCACTTGTGTGGCACAAATATTGCTTATTAGTCCAAGCTGAATATTGTGCAGGTCTGTGTTCCACATTATTGCGAACTGCTCAGCATGTGAGGAATGTTACTGATCTAGGTAATCTTGGTGGGTTGGATGTAAGGTTCAAAGCTCATCTCAGAGTCAAATGCAATGCAAAGATTGCAAATAATCTGGCTTAGACTCAGATGGTTGCCAGTGAAGCAAATGTCTAGGGAATCGAGTTATTGTGGGACAACTGGAAATGGCGTTGCTATTCCTCACATTTAATCGCAATATATTTGGACTTTATCGAGAAGTCAATGTTGGACAAACAGTCTGTAAATTTAGAGACAGTGGACTGTTGAATGAGGTAATGGTGAAATAATGCTGAGTGTTACCTGCATATATGTGGCAAGTGTCACTATATTCAAATTTTGTCACCGAAGGTCAGCATGTTGATGAGAAATAAGAAGGACCCAACAATAGATCTATGGGGATAAGGTTGAGAAAGAAGCATTGCAGATGATTCTCTATTTGAAACTGGATAAGCAAGAATGAAACCACCTGAATACAATTCTACTTAGCTTGACAAACAATGGAGAAATGGGAGATCTTGTGCTGCAAATCCTGAACTGAGAGACCTGAGTTCAAGTCCCACCTGCTCCAGAAATGTGTAAAAGCATCTCTGAACAGGTTGAATAGGGAAAAAAAAGGTTAAATTTTTTAAAAATGGAGAAGTGGGAGCTCATGTGGTGCAGTGATAGTGTCGCTACTCCTGGACTGAGAGACCCAGGTCCAAGTCCCACCTGCTCCAAAGGTGTGTAATTACACCCCTGAACATGTTGATTAGAAAAATAGGTTAAGTTTAAGGAAAACACAATGAGGAAGAGGATACAGTCATATAATCATAGAGTAATCCACCATGGAAACAGGCCCTTCAGCCCAAACTGGTCCATGCTGACCATGGTGCACTCTCAGCTAGTTCCAATTGCCCACATTTGGTCCATATCCCTCTAAATCCTTCCCATCCATGTACCTATCCAAATGTCTTTTAAAAGTTTTGCTTTTGTATCTGCCTCAACCACTTCCTCTGGCAGACCATTCCATATATGCACCACTCTCTGCGTGAAGAAGTTGCCCCTCAGGTCTTTCTTAAATCTTTCCCTTCTCATCTTAAACCTACACCCTCTGGTTTTCAGTTCCCCATCCCTGGGAAAAACACTATATGCATTCATCATGTCTGTGGCCCTCATGATTTAATGCACCTCAGTAAGGTCACCCCTCATTCTCCTACGTTCCAAGGAATAAAGGATGTTATGGTGAACTGTGCCAAAGATATTATTTTACATAGGATAGATGTGAGACTAATGGATGTCCAGTTGTCTGGGTTTGTTTTATACTTTTTTTAATTACAGTACCACTTTGGCCTGTTTCTAATCTAGTCATATCTCCGAAATCGACTCCTTACATGTGATTGTCAGTTGGTCATAAACTATCCTATTCTTTCTCAGTATCCCAGGATATATATGGTTGATTCCAAGTAATTGTTATGAGTCCATTAGGACTGTCTAGATCTTTCATTTTATTTGTATTGATTGGCTTAATGTCTGATCCATGTGCTTTATAAATAGTACTTAATAAGTTGGATTATTAAGCTTAACAAGCAGTAACATTGATTGAATCGCCACAACTGGTTACTCCAGTACTAAATATTACAGAAAATTCCCCTTTCTTGAGGTGAAGGTGATTTCTTAGAGGCTAAGGCCATTACTTCCAACAGATAGAATCACTTAAAAGTGATTCACGTATTTTCCTAAAATTATGAAATGAATATTAATAATGTGAACAGATGGTGCATCATTACAGATTTAATGTGTGAGTTGATAAATACTGAATCATATACTAATGGAAAATATGCAATTAAAGACACTGATGTGTATAAATACTGGAAGTCACACTAACAACAGAATATGCAGTTCTATCAGAATGTGAAAGATTCAATAAGTGAAAATTACACATAAATCATCAAGTCTTGACTAGTTTTATGACACAAGTGATATGTTAAACACATTCTGGAACATACTGTCAAGTACTGGGCTAAATAATAAGAATGTGCAAATAGACATCACTTTTATTTTAATGTACTGATTAATGAAAAGTTCATTCATATTCTTGCAAAAAAGTTTCTTTTTAATCACTTAGGCCCTTTGTTCTGCTTAATCATTTTTAAACAACAAAAATTCCAGCACAAAAGATACTCCAGGCCTGCTGTTGTGAGAACACGCCTCAGAATTAACCTCAAGATTGATAACTAATAACATTCCAATGATACTGTAGAAAACACACCAAAACTCACACCTGGAGAAAAAAAAGTCACTGAAGTCTTTTGTTAAAAGTCTTATTGAAAATATCATTATGTCCCAAAACATGCACTCATGCTGTTTTAAAAGGAAAATGATCGCTTCCTTAGAGTTCAGCCTATAACTTTATAAATATCCTTAGGATGAAGTGAATGATGCTGGGATCAGCATTTATTGGCTATTATTGGCATATGCTGCACTTTCTACTTGAACCACTGTAGTCAGTTTACTAAGGTGCTCCTGCAATGCACTTAGAAAGAAGTTCCTGGAATCTGATGCTGCAACAATGAAGGTACAGTAATATATAACCAAGAAAATGATATGGTTTTACAGAAACACAATGACTTCAGAATTGGCTGGGTTGTGTTTTCTCAAAAGGCAGCATATAAACATACACACTACTACCCAATTTGTTTCTCAGTTAGAAAATGTTTTACCCAAGTGAGTGTTTATCAGTAAAATAACACGGATACATTTGATCAACAGGACAAAGTCAATGCACCCCAATCAAATGATTTTTCGTCCTATTATACTATGATTTTAATTTAAAGTTCAATCTCCAATTTTAATCGCTCCAGCATTGGTCACCATGCTTTCAGTTACATTGGTCACAATGTCTGGAACACTCTCCCTACCCCTTTCTGCCTCTATCTCTCTTCCTTCCTTTAAGACACACTATTAAAGATACCTCTTTGATCAAGATTTTGATCAACTGATCTGCTGTCTCCTGATGGAACTCAGTGTCGTACATTGTTTTATAATATTCCTTTGAAGCACTCGGAGATGTTTTATAATGTTAAAGGTGCAATATAAATACATTGTTATTGTTGTTGATGATATGGATGATTACTGATTGTATGCATTTAAGTTTTTAAGTAAATAATTTTTTAAAAGTTTACATTTGTATTCCACTAGCTTTGCCAGAAATCTTAAGATACTTGAATATGCAATTTAAAAAAAAATTATGATTCTCATACTTACCTGGCTGTTATAAAGTAGAATTATCCCCTTTAATGTAGCTACTAACACTTGATCAAGATGGGGCACATTAACCACACAGTGAATATGATCATGTCTCCTTTTTTCCTCTGTCATAATAAAACAACAAATTTAAATAAGAATAATTCACAAAAAAATTCCATTTTCCCCATTTTATCGAGAAATATCTATTAATGACTTTTATTATTTAGTGAATTTAATTAGTGAGCTTTTGCAAATGATTTACTGTCATGAAAGTAGTAATGTTAAGTGTTTTAATGAGTTTGACTAATGCTTAGTCGTAGGTAGGAGTGCTAGATTCTGATCTTTTGGCCTGAGTTTGTGTCTGGTGGTAATGTCACCTCCATTCACACTTACACTTTGGGGCCTTGGGTTGGGATGTGGCGAACAGTGCAGTAGGGGGATGTTGTTGTGATGTGCTCCCCAACATCCAGAGCAAACCGTCCAGCTTTCAAACCAAGTGTTTATCAGAGATACAAGATTCTCACTAGGGAGTGGCATGTGGCCTGTCTGCACAAATTAACATCTTTATGGTGTTATCTCACCTCACTGATATGTAGTTTTCCCAATCTCCCACCCACTGGATAGAAACTGGATGCTGACAATTCCTAACATGAAAGCCAGAGCGGTTAACTTGCTGCTTGCTTCTCCAGGTCTCCATCTCAGTCACCAACATCTCAGGGCACCCTCCATGTCCAGCACCCACATGCAAACCCGTGTCCACCTGGGCCTCCAGGTCCCCATCAGCAAAGCAGGGTGCACCTTTCCCTTTGTTGTGCAGAGTAGCTGCAGACTGCCAGTGCTTGACTGGGTGCAAGATTGGGCTTCAAAGATGGTATTCAAAGAGGAAACCTGGCTGTGGTCAGCAGTGCCACCTGCAGGGAGTGGGAGAATATGATGAGAGGGATATCATTAGGTTGTGGTGCATAGTTAATGAGGTGAGTTTGAGAAGGTAGCATGAGTAAACACGTTAGTGTGAGTGGGGAGGAAAGCCTCCATGAAACTTAACAAAATTGGCACTTAGAATCATAGAATCCATATAATGTGGATACAGGCCATTTGGCCGATTGAGTCTACATTGACCCTCCGAGGAGCAGCCCACCCAGATCCCATACCCTATAACCCTGCATTTCCCATGGCTAATCAATGTAGCCTGCACATCTTTGGACTGTCGGAGGAAACCAGAGAATCTGGAGGAAACCTATATAGACATGGTGAAAATGTACAAGCTCCACACAGGCAGTCACCCGAGAATGGAATTGAACCCGGGTCCTTGGCGCTGTGAGGCAGCAGTGCTAACCCTTTCAGTATTCTGTAAGTTTCAATTAGATCCCCCCTCATCCTTTTAAACTCCATCGAGTATAGACCCAGAGTCCTCAAATGTTCCTCTTATGTTAAGCATTTCATTCCTGGGATCATTCTCGTGAACCTCCTCAGAACCGGCTCGAGGGCCTATACATCCTTCCTGAGATATGGGGCCCAAAATTGCTCACAATATTCTAAATGTGGCCTGACCAGAGACTTATAAAGCCTCAGAAGTACATCCCTGCTTTTACACTCTAGTCCTTTTGAAATAAATGCAAACATTGTATTTGCCTTCCCAACTATTAACTCAACCTGCAAGTTAACCTTAAGGGAATCCTGGACTAGGACTCCCAAGTCCCTTTGCACTTCAGATTTCTGAATTTTATTCCCATTTAGAAAATAGTCTATGCCTCTATTCTTCCTACCAAAGTGTATGACCTCATCCTTTCCCATGTTGTATTCCATCTGCCATATTTTTGCCCACTCTCCTAAACTGTCTAAATCCTTCCGCAGCATCCCCACCTCCTCAATACTACCTGTCCCTCCACCAATCTTTGTATTATCAGCAAACTTAGCCAGAATGCCCTCAGTTCCTTCATCAAGATCATTAACGTATAAAGTGAAATATTGTGGTCCCAGCACTGACCCTTGTGGAACACCACTAGTCACCGGCTACCATCCTGAGAAGAACCCTTTTATCCTCATTCTCTGCTTTCTGCCAGACAGCCAATCTCCTTTCCACGCTAGTACTCTAACACCATGGGTTCTTATCTTACTCAGCAGCCCCCTGTGCGGCACCTTGTCAAAGGCCTTCTGGAAGTCCAAATAGATAAAATCCATTGGCTCTCCTTTGTCTAAACTGCTTGTTATCTCCTTGAAGAATTCTAACAGATTTGTCAGGCATGACCTCCCCTTGACAAAACCATGCTGACTTTGCACTATTTTACCATGCACTTTCAAGTATTCACAAAATCTCATCCTTCACAATGGACTCCAAAATCTTACCAATGACTGAGGTCAGGCTAATTGGCCTGTAATTCTGCCTTACTCCCTTCTTAAACTATCTTAGCAGCTATCTCCTTCAGAACTCTGGGGTGTAGTCCATCTGGTCCAGATTATTTATCCACCTTCAGACCTTTCAGTTTATCCAGCACCTTCTCCATGATGATGGTCGACATACTCACCTCTGGCCCCCCCCCGACTCTCGAATTTTTGGGATTTTACTCGTGTCTTCCACCGTGAAGACTGACGCAAAGTACTTGTTCAGTTCCTCTCCCAGTTTTTTTGTTCTCCAATACTACTTCTCCAGTGTCATTTCCCAGTGGTCCAATGTCTACTTTTGCCTCTCTTTTGCCCTTTATATATCTAAAGAAATTCTTGCAACCTTCTTTTATATTACTGACTAGCTTACCCTCATATTTAATTTTATCCCTCATTTCATTTTTAGTTGTCCTCTGTTGGCCTTTGTAGGCTTCCTAATCTCTGGTTTCCCAATGCCCTTCGCCACATTATATGCTTTCTCTTTTGCTTTTATCTGTCCCTGACTTCCTTTGTCAGCCATGGTTGCCTTGTCCACCCTTTATTATGCATTTTTTTACCTAGGGATGAATTTCTGCTGTGTCTCCCGAATTACTCCCAGAAACGCTTGCCATTGCTGTTCTGCTGTCTTTCCTGCTAGGCTCCTCTTCCAGTCAATTCTGGTCAGCTCTTAGTTGTATTTATTCAACTGTTAATACCATTACATATGATTCCAGCTTCTCCCTCTCAAATTGCAGAGTAAATTCTATCATATTATGGTCACTGCCTCCTAAGAGTTCCTTCACCTTAAGCTCCTTTATCAAGTCTACCTCATTGCACAACACTATATCCAGAATTGCCTGTTCCCTACTGGGTTCCACCACAAGCTGCTCCAAAAAGCCATCTCGTAGACATTCCACAAATTCCTTTACTTGCGATCGACTATCAACCTGATTTTTATAGGAGTTGGGACGTCATGTTACAGTTGTGCAGGACATTGGTGAGGCCAATTTTGGAGCACTTTGTACAGTTCTGGTCACCCTGCTACAGGAAGGATATTAATAAATTGGAAAGAGTTCAGAAAAGATCCACGAGGATGTTGCCGGGATTGGAGGGTATGAGTTATAAGGAGAGGCTGGATAGGCTGGGACGTTTATCACGAGAGCATAGGAGGTTGAAGGGAGATCATTTAGAGTTTTATAAAATCATGAGGAGCATAAATAAAGTGAATAGCAAAGGTCTTTTCCCTAGGGTAGCGGAGTTCAAATCTGTGGGCATATTCTTAAGGTGAGAGGAAAAAGATTTAAAATGGACCTGAGGGGCAATTTTTTCATATGTGGAATGAACTTCCAGAGGAAGTGCTACATGCAACTATAGTTTCAACGTTTACAAGACATTTGGACAGTCCATGAATAGGAAAGGATAGCAGGGTATGGGCCAAATGCAGGCAAGTGGGACAAATTTAGTTTGGGAAACTTGATTGGCATGGATGAGTTAGTCTGAAGTGTTTGTTTCTGTGCTGTATGATTCTATGATTGCGTAAAGTTATAACACAAGAACAAGCTTTACAAACTTTGGAACAGTGGAAATTAAAACATGATAATTACATTTTGCAATGATTTAGCTGCTTAAGGCAATGAGCATTTCAATTGTGCAGGCTAAGGTCCTAGTTTTTATCACTCATCTCTGCTGAGCTAGCTGATCACAGCTGCTAAACTGAAAATATTGTCAGGATTTTACAGCAAGGACAAAATGCACATTCATTAAGCCCAATCTTTTAGCAAAGAAAAAGTATTCTCAAAAAACTGGCTACTATACCAAGCTAGTTGATAGAATTTTGAGGTAATGCTCAAAATCCAGTTGCCTGCTTTACTCAGGAACTAAGGGAGCGATGCATTAGCAGACATGTTGTGTTTCATATGCGATTTTAAGCCAAGGCCCCATTTACCCTCTCAGATAGAGGTAAAAATTGCCATTGTACTACTTCAAAGAAGCGTAAAAGAGTTCTGCCCTGGATGTTTTCCAAACTATCTCCAACCAACATTAATAAAATAGGTTAGTTGGCCATTATCCCATCTTTGTTTGTCCACCCTTGCTGTGAATACATTCGTAGCTTTGTTTCCTACAGCACTTCAGTGACATAGAAACATTGAAAATAGAAGCAGGAGTAGGCCATTCAGCCCTTCCAGCTTGCTCCATCATTCAAGATAATCATGCTGATCACTCAACTCAGCACCCTGTTGCAACTTTCTCCCTACACCCTTTAATCCCTTTCATCCTAATACCCAAATCTAACTCCGTCCTCAAAACATTCAATGTTTTGGCCTCTGTGGCAGAGAATTCCACAGGCTTACAACTTTCTTGGGAAAGAAATTTCTTCTTATCTCAGTCCTAGTCCATATCTTTAAACTGAGACTCACGAGGATTCCCTAGTCATCAGGAACATTCTTCCTGCATTTACCTTTTCATAGACTTTCACAGAATCTCTACAGTGTAGAAACAGGCCCTTCGGCCTAACAGGCCCTTCGGATCCTTAGAGCATCCCACCCAGATCCATCCCCCTGTAACACACCTAAACTACACATCCCTGAACACTATGGGCAATTTAGCATGGCCAATCCATCTAACTTGCACATCTTTGGACTGTGGGAGGAAACCGGAGCACCCGGAGGAAAGCCACATAGACACGGGGAGAATGTGCAAACTCCACACAGACAGCCGCCCGAGGGTGGAATCGAACCTGGGTCCCTGGCGCTGTGAAGCAGCAGTACTGACCACTGAGCCTCCATGCTGCCCCCTGTCCAGTCCTGTTTGAATTTTATAGTTTTGAATGAGATCCCCTCCTCATTTTTCTAAACTCCATTGAATATATTTCTAACTGATCCGGTCTCTTTTCATATGTTGGTCCTGCCATCCTATAAATCAGTCTGGTAAACCTTGGTTACACTTCCTCAGACAACGAAACCAAACTGCACACGATAGTCCAGGTGTGGTGTCACCAAGGGTTTGCACAATTACAGCAAGACATCCCTGTTCCTGTACTCGAATCCTCTCACTGTGAAGGCCAAAGCACCATCTGTCATCTTCATCGCCCGCTGACCTTCATGTTTTGTTTCAGTGACTACTATAAAAAGACACTCAGATGTCTTTGCACCTCCTCCTTTCCCAATCTATTGCCATCCAAATAATAATCTACCTTCCTGCTTTTTTTGCTATGCAAGTGGATAACCTCATATTTTTCCATATTGTACTTCATCTGTCATGCATTTGCCCACTCACCTAGCTTGTTCAAATCACACTGAAGTATCTCGGCATCCTCCTCACAGCTCACACTCCCACCCAGATCTGTGTCATCTACAAACTTGGATATATTACATTCAGTGCACTGATCTAAATCATTAACATATATTGTGAATAGCCGGGGTCCATTCACTGAACCCTGTGGTACCACATTAGTCAATGACTGCCACTCGGAAAATTACCTCTTTATTTCTACATTTTGTTTTCTGTCTGCAACTAGTTCTCTATCCCTGTCATTACACTAGCCCCAGTCCCATGCCCTTTAATATTAGATACTAATCTCTTACGTGGGACCTTATCAAAAGCCTTTTGAAAATTCAAGTAAACCACATCCACTAGCTCAACACTTTTAAACAAGTTGGAATTGGCTGTACAATGTTTTTTTTTCCTTCATGCACAGCTTTCTGTTTTCTACCCATTTCACACCTTCCTCTTTTCCCATCCCAGAATATGACCAGCTGAACTGCAGAGTAATTATTGTTAATGGAAATACTAAATTAAGTACCGTCACTTATTCCACCAGTATCTAATTCAGTCTAATTTATTAATTAAGAATGGCAAGTTGGATTGTTACATTTAGCTATTTCTCAGCAGCAAAAGACAATATGTGTATAAACACAAATTAACAACTGGTCATATTTTATAGAAATCATTGCAATACCTTCTCTCAGTTCAACAAGCTGTCGCTTGGAAATCACAAATATTGGCATTATGTCCATGATACTCTTTTCATCTGATGGAAAATATCCAAAAAGCTGCATGACAAAAAGCATACATGTTATCAATATACAAGTTTATCACATTTCACTTCTGTTAAAATGTATGACTTATAATGTTGATAAAGACAGTTGAGATGATAAGCAATTTTATTTTTTCGAAACAAAAATGACAACTTAATTCAGCATTAATGCAGTTCAGTCCAAACATAACGTTCATACAAGATTTCTCTATGTTGCCAGAAATAGCCCTCGATCTATGTATGCATTATAACACTGGCTGTAAACAATAGCACCATAGACAAAACAGCAGAGAGGAAGACCCATTATTTTGGTTCTGGGTGTTTTTAAAGAGCTGCTCAGTTTAACTCCAGACTCCAGATTATTCCCCAGAACTCAACAAATTCTCTTCGAGCACATGGAAAATTTCTGTATGAAATGTCTCACGGAATTTGCTGCCATAACATTTGAGGGAGTGCATTGCCAAACTTAGCAATTTTCAGTATGAAAAATATTTTTTTTACAACTCTAATTCTTTTGCCAATTATTTTAAACCTATGACCCCTGGTTAATTACCCAGTTGCCAGATGTACAGTCTTTCCCTATTTACTCTTACCAAAACCCCTTCTAATTTTAAAAATCTCAGTTAGGTCTCCCCTTATTTCTACTGCTCTTAGGAGAACAGTCCCAGGTCCTCTAATCTCTCCAAATAACCAAGACCTTCATGCAAAATGTCATCCAGATAAAGCTCCACTGTATACTTTCCAATGTGTTGATATCCTTCCTAAATATGGTGTACAGAAGAAACTGTGATATATTTCCAAGTCTAGATGATGATTGGCCTGGAAAGGAACACCACCTTAGAAATCTGCTGTGGTTGTGCTTCTCAATGCTAGTGGTTGGCAATTTGCAAAGTTTGTTTTCATACATTCTCAAACCCCTTCTTTTCCTCACCCTTCCATAGCTCTAAACCTTAGCAGTCTCACAACTCTGAGAACTCTACCCAATGCTGCAGATGAAGCTGAATCAGTGTTTTACACAGGTTTAACATAACTTATTTCCTTGTTTTTGTAACTTATTGTCCGTCAATAAAGTCCAGGATGCTGTATCCTTAACTGATTCTCTCTCAAATCATCTGATCACCTTCAATGATATATATACATATACGGCTAGATCCCATCTCTGTTCCTGCACTTCTAACGATACCTTTTGTTTCATAATGGCCCAGATTATCAGGACCATGTGCAAGTGTGACATGATTGATTCCTGAGAATTACCCTGGAAGTTGAGCAAAAGTCCTGTAAGCAATTACCCAGTGTCTACAATCTTTCAAGCAAGTTCTGAACTCTTAGAGTCAGAGACTTTGGAGACCTTCAACTGTCTTAGCTTAGTATCTAGGATTATCCAGGAAATATCCAGGAAATATTAGTGGAATAAAAACCTGCATTAACTCCTGAGTAACTATTATACTGAATTCACTCACACCTCTACTCACCATGATATCTGATGCCCCATTAAACAATACTCCAACTCTTCAAGATTCATTCCTGACCTGTCACCCCCCCTCAGCTCAACCTCTGACTACACTCAGACCCCATGTCAAATCCTACACTCGTACCCACTGGACTCAACATGACTCCTGGCTTCACCCAGACCTGGACACCCTGGACACAACTCCCACACTCACCTTATCAGACCTGGTACCTGAGCTCCCTCCCACCATTCACCAACATGTAGCTCCTACCCTCAGACCAAAAGTTCTCCGCTGCATGACCTGACCGGACTCCACCTGATTCTCCGATCCCCAAGGCGGCACACCCATTCATTGGACCCACTCCATCAGTCCCCAACTAACAACTGAACCTACCCCATCCCCACCCCCCACCCTATGCACACACCACTTATCTGCCACCCTATTGTCTTACTCACCTGCCACCCCAATCCTCACCCAGTTGGCAACTTACTCTTTCATTAATCTTCCATCTTAACCCCACGCCCATCTGCTTTTGTTTCTCTGTGTTCTTCTGACCAAAATAAAGCTAGTTCTGGGAAGGGAATTTGTAATTAAATTTCCTAGATGTGAGGTAATTTCTGAGGTAACCTAGTGACTTGATATTTCTATGGCGATGAGAACCAAGTAACCAAGAAAGACAAATATAAGCTAATTGATGGGGCATAAGTGGGGGAGTCTTCAGCTTGTGCTGAAGAGAACATAGGCTCACTGAGCTGGTGCTCAGGAGAAGAATTAATCTCTTGAACACATGTTTCCTGTTTTTGTTTGCTTGAGTGTAAGAAGAAATAAGGACACATAGAGCTTCTGGTGAAGCAATGTGCAAGCCAGCTACAAGGAAATGAAACTAAAAAGTAATATGAAGGGCTCAAGCACATTAAAGAACTCATTGATTCCCCCAAACCATGTTGTTGTTTGTTCTAGTGAACAAAATTCCCAGAAGGCTTAATCATCAAGGCAGCAGTAACTTGAGGGAGAGAGGATTTGTAGAAATATGTTCAGTCGGTATTGATCATATCCAGAGACTTCAGATGGAATAAAGCTGCCAATGAAATCCACTCGTGAGCTTAATCCAGTGAGTGGAAAAGCGAGAGGTCCTATTTAGTGGAAAACTTTAAGATTCTGCATCGTGCCCAAATTTGTGCTGAGAGGAAGACAGAAGCATTTATGAAAGTGATCTTTCATTGCATTGACTAATTAAAGTGAATGTCAATGATTTTACTCAAAACTATTCATTGTGTGCAAATCTTATTCGGTTTTGGGTTTGACTTTTACAATTGTAGTTTTAAAAAGTGGAATCTTGTCATTATTCCTTCCATCCAAATCATTTAGACATTCATTTCTTTTCAGGTCACTGATCTCCACGCGGATTTTAACAGTACACAAAAGTTCATTTCTAATGTAAAAGAATAGAAATTCTCAAGAGCTACCAGCTAACACAAAGGAATGCACTGCTTTCTGCATGGTTGCATTCCTGAGGCTTTGACCTGCTCCTGTTTGACCATTTTCATTTCAAGATTTTGGCTTGGCCCCTGTGAATCACTCTGCTGTGTTACTATTCCTCACAGAAGTTGCACATATCTGCTTTCTCCCATTCTCTGTGGTACTGATATCTGGTTTTTAAACTAAAAACATAATGTTGAGACATTTGGTAGGAAATAATGAAAGAAATAAAACTACATATCTTCAAATTGCTCTTATAGATACCATGGAAATTTCCACCAACAGTTTTAAGAAGAATGCATAATAGCTTGAAGAAAATTAAAGTCACTTCTGCATAATGTAAAATGCCGTAAAGACTTACTTCACACCAGTCTATGGGTGTTTGCATGCCAATGTTAATCTTCCGAAAACATGCCTTTACAAATTCAGCTTTCAATTCATCATTAAATAGATCTTGTACCATATCATAAAACTCATCGTAAGTTATTGGTTCTGGTGAAAAAACACATCGTAAGATATTTGCATGTATCACGTATACACAAACAGCTTGCATATAAGTCATTTATAAAATAATCACAGTAATTAATCAAATGACATATAGTTGCTTGGTAGCACAAAACTTGAGTATTACCGAGAAAAAAGCTATGCTGTTGAAGCTTTACATTTTGCACTCATCAGAACAAAATCACAAGAATACCAAATCTGTGAAAGAAACTATAATTTACACTGCATTACAAAAGATGCTGATTGGTTGACAAGTGGACTGAGATTGGTAGAGTTATTACTGTGGAGAATGCACCAGGGAACTATGAGCTGACAAGCTTTAAGTTCCAATCAAGGAAGCTAAGTCTTATTGGTCATGACACTGTCATGCAGAATGCACCAGAGATTGATTGTTCCCTAAGCTTTTGTTTAGTTAAAAAATACACAATGCATGGTAATTGGAGCGGAGCACAAGATGTGAGGACAATGAGACAGGCAATCAGCATCATTGAGAGGAACTGGTGAAGTGAGGCAGAAGTAGATGGACCGGTGGCAAATTTGTGTGAGACTTTGGAGCAGCAAAACTGAGGTTAAAAGGAGCAGTGACAGCAGGGAGATCAAAGAAGGAAACAGACGAGCAGCAGGTCTGCGTGAGACTCTGGAGTGATGGGCACAGGTTTGGAGTCATTCCTGTCACAAAGCAAGTTGGGTTTTGGTGATTTGTGGTCAGTTATCACAACTCCAGGATGTCTCTGTAGGAGTTCCAAGAATAGTGTCCTTGGCCAACCATCTTCAGCTCCTTCATCATAAAATCATAAATGGGGATGTCCGCTGATGACTGCACAATGTTCAACACTATTCCTAAATCTTCAAGTAATAAAGCAGTCCACGTCCAAATGTGCCAAGGCCTGGACAATATCCTTGGGCTGAAAATTGGCAAGTAACAGTGGGTTATGCAAGTACCAAACAATGACCATCTTCAACTAGAGAATCTAACCATTGCCCCTTCATGTTCATTTGCATCACTATTACTGGGTGTTATCATTGACCAGAAACTGAACTGGGCAAGTCATGTACATACTGTGGCTACAAAAGAAGATCAGAGGCAAGGAAATGAATAACTCACCTCCCCAAAGCTGGTCCATCATCTACAAGCCCAAGTCAGGAGTATTATGGAATAGTCTTCTACTTGCCTGGATGACTGCAGCAACACTCAAGAAATTTGACACTAACTAGGACAAAGTATTTGCTTGATTAGCACCACATCCATGAACATTCACTCCTTACACCACCATTGCTCAGTAGCAGCAGTAGATAATGTACTATTTTGGGTGCACCTACATAAATGGACTACAGTGGTTCAAGAAGGCAACTCACCACCATCTTCCCAAGGGTAATTAGGAATTGGCAATAAATGCTGGCTTATCCAGCGATGCTGACATCCCATGAGTGAATAAAAATAAGAGCTACTTTATGCACAGCAAGTTCCTACGACAGCAATATGATAATAGTTAGACAATTTGTGTGGCAATGATTGCACGATAAATACTGATCAGGGCACCAATGATAACCTTGCTGTTCTTCTTGGTCATAGTGATGTTGTATATTTAATTTGTGTCTGAGAAGGCCTCAATTTATAATTTCAACTGACAGATAACACTGCCATCAGCGCCACACTGTTAACCTTGATGGATGAATTCTGGTTGTTCAACCCAAACCTGCCGACTTAGGAATGAAAGAATGGTACCAGCTGTGGCAAGTGAGAACAAGCCAGCAACAAAAATCTCCACATCCATCTCTCCCATTCTTAGAGCAGGGGCAAAAGACAGACCTTTCCATCAGTGTAGACATGGGTTGCTTGTAGGATCAAACAAGTCTGAGTTGGTTTGAACGCTACAGGGGAGATGAGCAAATTGGTATGATTTCCATTCCACCAATGTTGTCAGATCTAAAAAGGAGATTAAGAGAAAACATGGCTTCAAGAGGAAGCAACAAAGAAGATCGGGCACCAATTGGTAATTGAAACAAGGATAAGTGTTGGGATCCACGAAGCAGGATGGACCGAACGGCACCAGCCTAATTAATCCCTTTTTAAATGATAAAACACGCTGGACTGATTGGGAGGGGCCAACATCCAAGATCACAGTGGAGACTTCGAATGATTTGTACAAGATGCAAATGATTATGAGTGGCCATTACACAGCCATAATATATAGGAACATGCCAAATTTCCATTCCTACACTTCTGAAAGAGATATTCGTGTCCAGGTTAGCTCACCAAAATCTGACATCCTTTTGTTGCTTTCAAGGTTTCTTAGATTCTGCAGCATCACAGCGATCAGATTGTTGAATTGATCTAGGCGGTCCTTGAATATGTGGTCAATGAATGGATAGTCCAGGCCATGGTTTGCCAGATCGTCGATAGACATATTGCACTGAACTTGTTGACCTGTCCGTCATGGATTTTAGAGAAGGATGGCTATTCCCGCAATTTTCCTCCTATCCACTCTCTCCCCTGAAAAAAAAATCCGTGGGGATTGAATGCAATGCAGGAGATTTGTAAGTTAGTTTAACACCAGGTTTGAAGAGACCATGTCCAAGGTGAAGGGCTCATTGATACACCTGAGCACATGGCGCCGGTCCAGGTACGGCTGCCTCCTGCCGTTGCCCCGAGCAACCATACACCTTTGATTCAATCACAGAGCAGCCTGCCCAAGCCAGCCCCTGACTGTTACCTCCACACCCTCTGTGACATCACCACTCCATCAGGTGAGCACATTGCACCCTCCCCCCTTTTCTAACAAGTTCCCCCAAAGTGCGCTGGATGGTGTAAGATATAATAAAGCTTAAGGTGAAAGTAAAAGATGTGCTTGTGACAAATGCAAGGTGGATAAATCAATGAAAACTTAAGTCAAATGTGGCAGATTCAAAGGCAAAGGACAAACGAGAGAAGCAAAGAAAGATCATGAAACGAGACTGTCAGCTAACATAGAAGGATATTCCAAAGTCCCCTATTGATATATAAATAGTAAAAAGAGGAGTACATACAAGGAGAATATATTAATTAGGAACAGAAGTAGTCCTTTCGGCTCCTTAGTAAGCCTATTGGTTCCTCAAGCCTGCTTTGTGATTATGACTGATCTGATTGTGCCCTCATTTCTATTGGGTTGTTAAGGGACCAAGAAGGGGCATAACTGAGATATTAAAAGCAATTTTGCTTCTATTATCAAAGAAGAGGATGTGTCCATGCCACATTGAATGAAAGAATTAACAGACAAATAATTTAAAATAGAATAAGAGGAGATATTAGATGGGCTACCTCTCCTTAAATTTTAATAAAGCCCACAGAATCAGGTTAGATATATAAAAACAAATTGAAAGAAATGAAAATGGAACTTGTGGTAGCTCTGGCCGTGATTTTCCCAATGTCCCTTGGATATAGGGGCAAGCCAAAGGACTGGAAAATTGCAAATTAAAAGGCTATAAAGTCAAACCTAGCATCCACAGAATAGTCAGTTTAACTTTAATGATGCAGAAACTTCTAGAAGCAATCATGCAGTCCAAAAGTAATACTTATAAAGGCAAATGTAGATTAATTAGGGAAAGTCAACACGGTGCTTTTAAGGGAAAGTTGTGGCTGACTGGCTCGTTGACATTTTCCAAAGAGGTAATAGAAATGATTGATGAGGGCAATGTTGTTGAAGTGGTATCTGTGGACTTCCAAAGGGCATTTGATACAATGCTGCACACAGCGATAGAGTTGTATAGCATGGATAAGATCCTACAGTCCGTGCCGAACATAATCCCAAACAAAACTAGTCCCACTTACCTGCACTTGGCCCATATCATTCCAAATATTTTTTTATTCGTGTACTTACTAAATGTCTTGTGGACAAAATTAGGCTTAGAGAGTAATAGTAATTGGAGCAATATGAAATCAAAATTGACCGAGAGACAGGAAACCAAAGTGATTAAACAATGTTTTTAAGGCTGGAGAAAGGTATATGTTGGAATTCTGCATGGGACCCTTGCTCTTCATGGTATCTATTAATGACATAGACCTTGGAGTACAGGACACAGTTTCAAAATTTGCAGATGATGCAGAACTTGGAAGCATTGTTAACTATGAGGAGCATAGTGTAGAACCATAAATGACACAGGCATGTTGATGGAAGAAGTGCCAGATGAAATTTATTGCAGAGAAATGTGCAGGTGATTCATTTTGCCAACAAGGACGAAGAAAGAGAATACAAAATAAAGGGTACAACTCCAAAAGGAGTGCAAAAGTAGAAGGACCTGGATGTATGTGTGGCATTCATTGAAGGTGGCAGGATGGGTTGAGAGAATGCTTAATAAACCATGCAGTTTCTGTGACTTCATAAATAGGGGTTTGGTAATATTGAATTTTAGAATCTCTACAGTGCAGAAGGGACCTTTTGGCGACACTGACTCTTCAACCATCTCACCCAGACCCAAACCCCCATCCTTGTATTCCACATAGGGTTTTTACCATGGCTAACTCACCTAACCTACACATCACAGGGCATTTTTAAGATAGTTAGTCCACCTAAGCTGCAGATCTTTGAAATGTGGGAGGAAACCAGTGCACCTAGAGTAAACCCACACAGACACAGGAAGACCATGCAAACTCCACACACATTTCCCCAAGGCTGGAATCAAACCCAAGTCCTTGGCACTGTGCCACCATGCTGGCCTGATTTGTACAAGACACTAGCTTGGCCTCAGCTGGAGTATTGCATCCAGTTTTGGGTGCCAAATTTCAGTAAAGATGTGATAACTTTAGATAAAGTGCATAAAAGATTCGAAGGAATGGTTCCAGGAATGAGTACCTTCTGATATGAAGATATATTGGACAAGGCAGGACTGTTTTCCTTGGAGAAGAGAAGGCTGAGGAGACCTAATCAAAGTATTCAAAATTATGAAGGGATCTGGGCAGAGTGCATACGGTGAAATTGTTCCAACTGATGAAAGGATTGAGAATAAGAGGCCACAAAATTAAAGCAATTGACAAAATAAATAAAAGAGGCATGAGGAAAAGCTTTTTTCCTGCAGCATGTGGATAAGGTCTGGAATGCACTTCCTGAGAATGTGGTAGAGACGGTTTCAGTAAAAATATTAGAAATACAATTAAACAGTCACCTGAAAAGGAAGAATGGGCAGGGATACATGGAAGAAGCAAGGAAATAGCACTCAGTGAATTGCTCATTCAGAGACTAGGGCAGATATAATGGGCTGAAGAGCCTCTTTCTGCATTGTAACATTTAAGGGTTCTGCTTTAATCCATCTGCATATACTTTAATATAAACAATTATTAAGCAACATATCTCAATAGGAAAAACAGTCGACAATAAGATTAAAAATAATGTAATTTGTACAGACAAAAAAACAGAAATTGCTGGAGAAATCCTCAGGTCTGGCAGGAGCTGCAATTTTTTGTGTCATATTAATTTGTACAGCATTTTCTTAACCTAACTGTCTAGAATAATCAGTAAGGGTGATCAAAGATGCATGAACCTGTTGTCGGCCTTAGAGCTGAAAGTGGTACCACTTAGCTAGAAGACTGTGTGTTTAAACCAGGGCATGGTCGGTGGATTCCATCTTTTGAAGGATGGGGATTGGCCAGAGGTCTGTCATAGAAACAGGATTGGGCCATTCAGACCATCAAGCCTGCTCCATTATTAAATTAGATCATAACTGACTGAATATTTAAATGCCATTTTTTGACACAAACTCCTTATCCTTTGGTGTTATTATCTCTAGAAATATGTTGACCTCTGTCTTGAAAATGCTCAAGGGCAGAACTTCTAATCCCCCTGAGGTAGAGAATTCCAAATACCTACCAACCTCTCAGTGAGGAAATCTCATCTTACTTCAGTCTGAAATGCCTATCACTTAGCCTGAGAATATGTCCCTGCTTCCAGACTCAGTAGTCGGGGAACACCTTAAGTACATCAACCCTGCCATGTCCTGTAAGAATTTTGTGACAAATTATTTTTGTTGTATTGAATGAATAATTAAAATCACAACTTTTTTTTGCATGCGGTTCCAGTCAATCACCTCAAAAGATACAGATGCACAGGTCACTGCATTTGAAGTTTTGTCTCACGCAAGATCATTGTATGCATTTATTTTTCTGATAGTTAATTTCCCTCCTAGCCTGCATTATTTTAGCTGCAACTCACTCACATACCTGTGTGTGATTGCTAATTTGGAGAAAATCTGAGTTACACTCCTTTGCTGTGGCTTTAACGTGACTGAGTGGAATTCATACGAACTCAGATGTGGATGGGCCTGACTTTTAATTGGCTCAGCTTTGGCTTACTCAGGACCACTTGATCATGTGCTGGTTTAAACTATTGAAGTCATTATCCATAAAACTAAAATGCACGCCATGCATGCATAGGTGTGACCCACAGCATCAAATGGCTACAACAGGCTGCAGGGAGTGTGTATACACCACTGACATCAGAAGGCTGGGGACAAGGGTGCTGTCGAGGCTGTGGGTGAAGGTGATGAGAGATAAAGGCTGGGGATGAGAGGGTGGCAAGGTGGAGGCTGTTTTCTAGAGGCTGGGAGTGATGGGGCCGGCCAGGCTGGAGGCAAGGGGAAGGTGGACGTGGAGCCTGGGGCTGATGAAGCAGAACTTCTCCTCCCGGCAGTGTCTGAGGTGTAAGTGTCCTTGGCTAGTGGTCCTTTGTCACAATCGCTCCAATGACACTTCTCTGCAGCAAATTACAAATCGGATTGGAAATATAAACAAACCAATCAGGAAGACGCACAAACCAAGTGACTGTACTAACTTTCAAAATGTCTGCTGCCTTCCATCAGTTCTAAATGATATTGGGTTCCTCTACACACATGTGCACTCTTTGTGCCACCTAGAGGTGGTGTTTGCAGCATTCACAGTCTTAAACCATACTGTCGGGACTCATGATCCAAGCTGACATCTGCTACACCATTGAGGGAGGACTACACTTTTGGATAAGATATTTAATTATCAGTTGTCTATAACTGTAATAATAAACCTTTAGAGTTTACTACCATAGTCTTGCATTGTGTGCAATTTAAGTTCAACAAATGCATCATTATTTTCATCAGTCTAAGATCCCTTTATTATAATTTTAATGATGTATATAAATATTCCATGGCTGGAAGCAGTACTTTATGAGAAAGTAACCACAAATGATGTTGGACCTCGTAACTCTGTCATCACATTTCACTTAACTCAGGGCCTTTAATTGAGGCAGTTCTGATGATTGTCAACTTGAAATATTAGGGAAATTTTAACCTGACTGGTAGGCAGAATTTTAAACATGGAAAACAATTCAGCATGTTGAGAAGCAGGCAGGAACTTGCCAAATTTCAAATTAACTTCTTGCATTTGTTTGTGTCCATGGGTTAGGTAGGC